CCTTCAAGGAGGTCTGTTAAAAGTGCAGATTCCAGGGCCTTCCAAGCTGGAAACCTGCATTTTAACAGCTCCCCTGGTGGTTCTTGGCCACTTCAAAGTTGAAAATAGACACCCAAGGCCATTCTGGCAATTAGCAGGATAAAGACGATGGCTTAGTGCCTGAACACTGAAGGGAACTGTATTGTTGGGCTTAGGTTTGGCTGGGATTGGACAACCCCCAAATTACAGTGGCTGAAATAAGATAGAAGGAGAGTTCTAGGTCCAAGTCCAGAGGTAAGCCATCCAGGTATGGTACAATATCAGGATTTACAATGTCATTCTTTCTTTCTTTTCTTTTCTTTCTTTCTTTTTCTTTCTTTCTTTCTCTTTCTTCCTTTCTTTTTCTTGAGAGAGAGGAGAGCATAGAGTGAGAGGGAGAAGCAGACTCCCCACCGAGCAGAGAGCCCGACGTGGGGCTCGATCCCAGGCCCCTGAGACGATGACCAGAGCTGAAGGCAGACGCTGAACTGATTGAACCATCCAGATGCCCCATCGGGCTCTTGAAATCCTTTTGCTTGCTGCTGTGGGGCTTCCATTCCTAGGGTCACTGCATGGCCTAAGGGACACCTTGACTTCCAGTCATTAAATCCACACACCAGGCAGCAGAAATGAGGAGGGCTGAAGCAGGGCGTGATCCTTCCTTGAAAGGCACTTTACAAAACTGTCCCCCCTCCACCCCCCCATCCAATGTACTGCCCAGAAGGAACTGAGGTCACACTGTCCTGCTGCGAGGGAGAGAGAGCTGTATTCCAGGTCACCGCGTACCTCATTGAAAGCGGGGAACCACTTCAGAGGAGGCTGAGAGATGGAACACTAGGGGAGGCAGAAGCCCCTGCCTCAGGGTGGGTGCCCACCCCAGCACTGACGCCTGGGTGTCCCGAGACAGGGACAGAGGGACAGAGGGTTAGGGGTCTGGGAGTTAACGTGCAGCACCCAGAGAGGGGGGCATTGAATAGGGAAGGTCAGCGGGTGGTCTGTGGACACTGAGCACGAGCCTCACGAGCCCGACGCAGTCTCTGAGCAGGGCAAGGGAGGAGGTGGGGTAATGCACCTGGAAAAGACACATGGGCAGAGACAATAAACATGGCAGATTAAACGCCAGGATGGTCTCTCCTGTGCTTGGCTAGCATAGGTGTCAACAGCCCAAGGGAGGGTGAGGAAGTCTCCCCCCACCCCAATGAATGATTCTGAAATTCCTGTCAACAGTGGACAGTGGGAAATCACAACATGTTTAGTAATATTTGGAAAAATGGAACATGGTGACTTTTCATACACTCCAGAAGTGAGGAGCACTTCATACCCAGCTGTATTAGTCATGGTTCTCCAGAGAAACAGAACTAATAGCATACACGTAGATACGGAAGAGATTTATCATGGGAGTTGGCTTTTGTGATTATGGGGCCTGCGATATGCCACCATCTGCCGTCCTTCGGAAGCTGGAGAACCAGGAAAGCCCGTTGTATAATTCAGTCCAAATCCAAAGGCCTGAGAACCACGAACTCTGATGTCCAAGGACAGAAGACGGATGTCCCAGCTCAAGAAGAGAGAGAGCATTCACCCTTCCTCTTTTTCGTTCTATTCCGGGCTCTCAAAGGATTGGATGTCCACCCACACTGGACAGAGCAGATCTTTTTTACCTAGTCTGATTCAAATGCTAATCTCTTCTGGAAACACCCTCATAGACGCATTCAGAAATAATGTTTTACCAGTTGTCTGGGCATCCATTAGCCCAGATAAGCTGACACTTAAAATTAACCACCACATCAGTATAATGTTAGTGAACTGTAGGGAGTGTGTTAATAGATACAACCTTTTTGAAGATCAGTCTGACATTACATATTAAGTGTCTTAAAACTGTTTAAGCCCTTTGACCCTGTAACAATCCCAATGTCAGGAACCTAGCCCAAGGACACAACTTCACAAAGCTTATCCACAAAGATTTCTGTTGATTGTTTATAGCAGGAGAAAACAGGAGATGACCTAAGTGGCCAGTGTAGGGAAATCATGGTCTTTGTCCTCGTATTTCTGCCTCAGTGACTAAAACAGTTATGTCTTCCTGGGGACGGTTTAGAGACCACACTCCGGCACTCTGTCCCACACTCCCTAACATCCATGGGGAGGGATGTGACTTACTGGACCGGTGAGAAATGGTAACCCGTGGGTTGTCTGCTATCTGCCGGGACCACCCAGGTGGCAGCGCACCACTGGGCCTTCTAGTGCATGCAGATGGCTGTGCCAAGTCTAGATTTGCAGGCCCAGCCTTCCTCTGATCAGATTTAAGGAAGAAAGCTTGGTTTGGTCTTCATTTTTACGCAGCACTTGAACACCTGGCTTCACCAGTAACAAAGTGGACTCTGTATTTTAATTCCTCCCTGGTGCTTGTCCTTCACGGGATCGTGGTGAGGAGTGGCTGTGCTCACCCCGGAGCATGCCCACCCATGGTTCATTGAGAATAGTCAAAGAAGGGGGTCCTGGAAACCAGTGTCAGAGGGCAGGAGGGGGCCTCTTGAAGAAGCCGCAGCAGCTGGTGCAGGCTGACTCACAGCTGCTTTTAATACGCAGGGGCCACGTAAACAGGCTTTGTAACAGAAGTGGGCCGGCCTGGCCAACTATGGCGTGACTGGAGTGTGACATTTGAGTCACTGCGAGGCTTTGGCTGGCGTCGTCCAGCCCTGGCCATATGGCCCTCTGTGAGTGTGACCTATACAAGCAGAGCTTGAACACTGGATTTGCCGAAATAGCCTGAGACAGGTATTGAATTATCGGAGAAAGAGAGTTTTTCTCCTGGACCATGTGAAAGATATAAATCTTGGTCCACAAATGCATCTGCTCAAGAATTATAACTTATTTTCTGTAATACCATCACTTCAAACTCCATGGCTCCTTGGGTTCCGAGACTTCCATTGTATTCCTGGCACCTTGGGTCTTACATGGTGCTGAGGAGTGGAGGGGGGAAGGGGAGAGAACATTTGGTCCTTGGTCATAAGTCCACACAGGTGACCACTGAGACATCCACTGCCTCTATGTGGCTCCCTTCTGATTTGGTGGCTATCTCCAAGTGCTGTTTTTTGAAAAATGAACTGTGGTTAGGCCTAGACCAATTAGAAAAGGTGGGGTGAGTAGATTTCTTTTGAGAATCAGCGAGCAGGGGACGGGGGGAGAATCTTAAGCAGGCTCCACGCCCAGTGGAGCCCACTGCAGGGCTCCATCTCACAACCCTGAGATCATGATCTGAACCGAAATCAAGAGTCAGATGCTTAACCGACTTGAGTCACCCAGGTGCCCCTAGGGATAAGTCAATTTCTGCCCATTCCGAAGTAGTAGAGTGCCACAGTTCAGCCAACTGAGTTTTCTCTGAATGAGGAGGTCTTGACAACAGGCACAGCCTGACCTGTACCTCGGGAAGACAAATCAAGAAGGACCCCTTCTTTCTTGCCTCCCTTTCCCTACATCCCATCCAGTCTCCGCTGCAGTGACAGGCTAGGTGGGGGGGGGGGTCTGCACTGTCCACCGTAGCGAGTCTGGGACAACTGTGGTAGCACTGGATTTACTCGGGTTTTCTAAGTTCTGTGGGCCTGGCGCTGGTAATATACTGGTTGTCCCACTGACTCCTTGAAAAAGTGGGATATAGAAGAAATTTGGGGTTGGATCAGTTTGCTTAAGGAGTGACACCTGTTCTAATGAGACCTTAGGCATCAGTTTCTGGAGAAAACCCAGGCTCCTGATTGAGATCCTGCTCAAACAGGGAAGGTCAAGAAATTAGGGAGGGAAGAATTTTGGATTTGAATTCTCTTGGCTTTTCATTGAGGTGATTTCATATTTGGCCTTCCATAATGAAATTCTTGTTGAGAAATCTAATTACTGGAGGGGGTTTTGGCAAAATTGGAAACTTTATACTACTGACATTTGGGGGGTATTTTATGCTATTAGTTGGGCTTATTGTAAAACGCAGTGTCTTTCCAACATTTTTCTTGAATTAGAACATGCAGCAGGGAAATGCATTACATATCCTGGCCCTGTAACTGAAGCACAGTTTTTACAAAATAAAAACCTCTCAGCTGGGGTTCCCATGAAAGCAGAGCCTGCGACAAAGGCTTGAGTGTGTAGGCAGTTTATTTGGAAAGTGACATTAGGAAGGAGTGGGCAGCAAGGGAGCAAAACTGGGAAGAGCCAACGCAGGCATGCGGTACTGAGGCCACCGTTGCTATGGTGACCGCAGCTCAGTCTCCCAAGACCTCCTCCGAAGCTGAATGAATTCGGCTCACATCGGCTTTGTTGGGGGATGGATGCCTGCCCCACAGTGAGTTCCACAGTGTCCTTTGGGTGTTGATTCCCCCCACCCCACACACACAGGGTGCACTGTTGAGTGGCACCTGTGTGGACCCAATCAAAAGGGCATCAGTGGCTGGAGAAAGGGGTCGAATGGGAAAGATCTGCAGTGGGCACAAGAGGTGTTCAATCAAGATACTCAGCCTGACCAAGTGCAATACTGTATCCTACGCTAGTTCACACGCACACACACAGTCTAGTTGAGGCCCACTAAGCAGTGGTTCTCAAAGTGTGGCCTGGAGACCCTGTTTCAGGGGGTCTGTACGGTCAAAACCAATTTCAGAAAACCATTAAGATGCTGCTTCTCTTTTCCGCTCTCATTCTCTCACAAGTGCGCAGTGGTTCTCCAGAGGCACGGACTGAATACAGAAGCAGACAGGAGAACCCAGCTGTCTTCCAGTAACCCAGACATTTAAAGAGATTTGCAAAAATGTGAAACAATTCTACTGGTCTCGTCGCTAAGTTTTAGAAAATATAGTGATTTTTCATAAAATGTTATTTAAATATATAAAGCATAATGGGTTTAGTATTTATAAACAAATGTTTTTAAAATTCCTATTTTAATTTCTAAATATAATCCACATATATGAAAGTTTGTGGAAACACTCTTTATGAGTGTAAGGGGGTCCTGAGATTTTTTTTTTTTGGGGGGGAAAGTAACTTTATTTTCTTCAGGGGTGTGGACAGATGTCTCGTCTCAGAACTTCTGGAACTGTTTCTTGGTGCCAGCAGCCTTTGTGACTTTGAGCACGTTGAAACGCACAGTCTTGCTCAAGGGCCGGCACTCACCCACTGTGATGATGTCGCCGATCTGGACATCCCTGAAGCAGGGGGACAGGTGCACAGACATGTTCTTGTGGCGCTTCTCAAAGCGGTTGTACTTTCGGATGTAGTGGAGGTAGTCTCGGCGGATGACAATGGTCCTCTGCATCTTCATCTTGGTCACCACACCAGAAAGAATCCGCCCTCGGATGGAGACATTACCAGTAAAGGGGCATTTCTTGTCAATGTAGATGCCCTCAATGGCCTCCTTGGACGTCTTGAAGCCCAGACCGATATTTTTGTAGTATCGCGGGAGCTTCTCCTTGCCAGTTTCTCCAAGCAGGACCCTCTTCTTATTTTGAAAGATGGTTGGCTGCTTTTGGTAGGCGCGCTCTGTCTGAATGTCCGCCATCTTCCCGGCCCGGGTCCTGAGATTTTAAAAAATGGTGCGAATCGCTACATTAAACTGAGCAAGACCCTGGAAATAATTGCAGCCCATAATCCGAGAAACACTGACATAGTATTTCAGGAGCTCTAAGAACACGGTGGTTGGGAAACAGAATGAAAAGCTAATAGGAGGCCTGAGGTTAGGTGGGGTACTGGAGTTAATTAAGGGCCTTTTCTGACCCATTTCAAAATCTTCTTAGGCCTATCATTGGCCTGAGGGGAATACAAAGGGATGATGCTGATCTGGGACGGAGTCTCACAAAGGTGAAAGGACTGCTCTGATAAGGACCCGTTCTTCCAAAGAAACTGCTGCTCCCGGGTTGACCACAGGTTGTTAAATCCAATGGATTAAGGCAGGCAGTTCTCAGTTCTGGCTGCAAGTTGCTCAGTGTCCAGGAGTCATTAAAAGCTACCCCTCCTTGGGCCCCACTCCAGACCAGTGAATTAAAATTTCTGGGGATGGGGCATAGGCACCGTTCTTTACCTTTTTATTGATGTTACGTCAAGGGCACAGATCTTGGGTGGGGGGATGTGTGGCACAGCTAAAGGTGATTAAGAGGTACAAACTTCTTACAAAATAAGCCACAGGGATGTAAGGTCCAGCACAGGGAATATAGTCAATAACACTGTCATCACTTTATATGGTGACAGATGGTAACTAGTCCTATTGTGGTGAGCATTTCGTAATGTATAAAAATATCAAGCGGCGACCTTGTACACCTGAAATTAAGATAGTATGTTATGTCGACTATGATTCAATTTTAAAAAGCACAAGTTAAGTGATATTAACAGTATGCTTCTGTTATAGCCAAGTAACTATAACCCAGATCAAGATGCAGGGCATTTTTAACCTCCCAACAGGTTCCCTCGTGCCTCTCCTGGTTAATACTGCTATTGTATAGTTATCACCAAAGGTTTGTTTTTCCTGATTTTGAGTTTCATATAAATGGAATTTTACATTATATGTTCTTTTATGTCTGTTTTTCTCCCCAACATGTGTGTGTGATATTCATTCATGCTGTCAGGTAGAGCAGTGATTTGTTCTTGTTTGCATGGCTGTGTGGTTTTCCACTGTATATTTTATTTATTTTTTAAAGATTTTGTTTACTTATTTGACAGAGAGAAATACAGCGAGAGAGGGAACACAAGCAGGGGGAGTGGGAGAGGGAGAAGCAGGCTTCCTGCGGAGCAGGGAGCCTGATGAGGGACTGGATCCCAGGACCCTGGGATCATGACCTGAGCCGAAGGCAGACGCTTAACGACTGAGCCCCAGGTGCCCCAGTTTTCCACTGTATAAACATATTTTTTATTTACCATTCTACCCTGGATGGAGCCAACTGGTCCTCTCAAACTGAAGTGTGGGGACATGCTCTTACCCTAGAAATACAGGAGCTGGGACAAACGACAGACTAGAAATAGCAGATTCATGTCACCCGTCTTATGCTTACAAGGCGGGGATATGGATATGAAAAATGGAAACCCTAGTTTTCTCAATTATTTAAAATTAATAGTTTCTTTTTCTTCTTTTTACAGGAGGTATAGTTAAATTTGCACAAAAATGTGTGGCTCCATTCCTGTACAGAGACTTTGGGTGTCAAAGGTTAGAAGGCCTCGAATGCTTGAGGAGTTGAGATTTGGTCTCATTGGCCAACTGTTAGTACACTCTTGCTAAGTTACCTATGGTTTGTTTTTGTTTAGTTTTTTTTTTGTTTTTAAAGATTTTTTATTTATTTATTTGACAGAGAGAGCACAGGCAGGGAAAGCTGCAGGCAGATAGAGAGGGAGAAGCAGGCTTCCCGCTGAGCAGGGAGCCCAATGCGGGGCTCGACCCCAGGACCCCGAGATCATGACCTGAGCCGAAGGCAGATGCCTAACAACTGAGCCACCCAGGCACCCCATATGGTTTGTTTTTAAAACTTATTTCTATCCAAGCTTCTCAATCTCACATGGACACAACTAGATATTAACAAGGAGCAGTCACTCAAACGAATTCATATACTGAAGCCTCCAACCCCCTCAACTTCCCCAAATACTGTCTAATTCAGTAAAAGGCACAACCATCTACCCAGCTCATCGATCCCGAGACCCCAGGAATGCCCCTCAATCACAACTTCTCTCAGCAGCCACCCACTCCGCACAACCAGATACACACACCCTGTCCATCAGCTGTGTCTCCGACCAAGGCTGCAGAGAGACCCGCCCATCCCTAGCACCACTGCCACCACTTAGAGCGCCCCCCTTACATACATACTCCTGCCCCATCCCCAACTCTTCCTCCTGAATCCATCCTCTATCCACCAGCCTGAGCAACTTTTTCAAGACATGCACTGGGCCAGGTCATGCCTTTCCTTAAAGCCTCCCTCTAGCTCAGAATCTAAAGGGCCTCCAACTCATCACACTGACACTTAATTCCAGACTTCCCATGCTGGCGTACAAAGCCCCCTGCGGCAGTGCGGTGGTGCTGCGCCTCTCCAGGCTCCCCTCAGACCACACTCCCCGGGGCAGTGTGCTCGAGGCCCCCTGCTGGCCTTCTGTCCACACTGACCTCCCTCCCACCTGGAGGTCTCTGCCCCCGGCTGCTTCTTACCTGCAAGCTCTCCCACATTCCCAATCCTTCTGATGGGCTCCTGTCTTTTGCTAATCAAATTTCAACCTCAACTGTCTCTCTCTCAACAGCCTTCCAATAAAAACAGACATAAAGTAGTCATCCCTTTACTTTCTAGAACATTATGCTATCTTAATTCTCTGCATAGCACTCATCAAATAATATTTGCTTAGTCTGTCTCAATCTGCTTCTGAAATGTAGGCTCTTTCAGAAAGAATCTTATCATTGCTACATCTAGAAAAATACCTGGTATGTAGTAAGTACTCAACAAATGTTTCTTTCTTAGACACAAATATGATGCAAGAACACACAAATTCAATGTACCCTTCTCCCAAATCTAAGAGTTTGAATTCTGGGCCTCTAAGAAAAAAACAGCAGGAAGGACAAAATTGCCATTTAAAAATCATAACATGAATGCTTCTCTGGAGGGACTTCTTGTTTTTACTGATACTTATTTTTTTAACAAGTCTGCTATATGGTAATGCAGTATTTTATTTATTCTGTTCATTAATAACTAATACTCAAGAACTTTTATAATATTAATATAACTTAATCTAAAAGAATCAACTTACTTTGTTTCCATTTCAATACTGGGTACGAGAGAGAGTCAAAATAATTATGGTCAAAATTATTATATAAAAAATTATAGTAAACGCTCGGTGTTAGTCTCCATACAATTTAGTTTTTGGCATAAAGTTATTTAGTTGCCAGGAAGAACATTTGGTTTACTTCACTAATAGGAATATCTCTTAATGCCGGGATGGCCTCTTCTTGGTATTTCTTCTGCTGTTGATTTTTAGCATAGTTATCTGTAAGAAGAGGACAAAAAGCTCTGTTTACCCAAACAATTTCTTCTACCATTTCTTTTTTTAAAAAATTTATTTATTTATTTGACAGAGAGAGACACAGTGAGAGAAGGAACACAAGCAGGGGGAGTGGGAAAGGGAGAAGCAGGCTTCCCGCAAAGCAGGGAGGCTGATGCGGGGCTCAATCCCAGTAGCCTGGGATCATGACCGGGAGCTGAAGGCAGACACTTAACTGACTGAGCCACCCAGGAGCCCCTCTTCTACCATTTCTGTGGTTTACGGAGATCCACTGCATAGTTTACTAGGCTAATATTTGCATAATGACAAATACCATGTTTAACATAATTAAAAGACTTCTTAAGTTAAGACTACTTAAATTCTCTCTTTAGAAGAAATGTCCCATTTAGAATAAAAATCAGGAAGGTACTTTCTGCATCTCTAGGATAAGAAATATTTCATTCATTCAACTGTACAATGATGATTAAAGTCCCATCTGCACATTTCTCATAGGGACAGAGTTATATGAAGGCTTAGTAAATATATTTAATCCGATACCCTCTAACTATTAAATCATTTGGTACAATCATTCATGCAAACTTAACAATGTCCCCTCATTGCACAAATTGTCTATTTGCTGTAATTTTAGGCAAGAAGACAGGGAATACAGTAGCTTATCAGAAAGAAATATAAAAATACTAGAACTGGTTTTCAAAATACATTGTATAGGCTCATGAAAAAAGGCTTTGAAAAGTTAAAAAAAAATTCATACCAAGCAACTTAAAAAACCCCTTCACTTCCTAGAATCTAAGCAAGGTCAGGAATTTATTTTAATCTTTAGACTCAGGGGAATTAAAAAAAAAACTACAAAAACATGCCATGGCTCTTCTATCTGCACAATTGGGGTCAGGTGTATACAAGGATCCTGAGGAGCATGCACACTCTCAAATCCCTCTACTGAACAAGGTCTGCATGGACCTATTTGCCATTGTTTGATCAACACTGCCCGTTTAGGATAAAATGTTTTTCTCAGGCACAGTTGCTAAGAAACATATTATATACTTGTGGTCTTTATGGGAAAATACACCTGCTGACTGGTGCTATAAATAGCATATTCATCAGAATTTATTTCTGCCACATAAACATATCCTCTGATATCACTTTGTATTTATTTCTCCTAGGTTCTTTTTCTTGTGCTGACATGTGTCACTACAGCCTATTCTGGGTTGCTTTTCTTGATAAAACAGCTAACACCTTGCTCTTCCATCCCCCCGCACTTCCCTTTGATATACATTTACCTGTGATTGTATGAATGGAGTTGAGTGGAGAGGTACTCATCATGTTTATTCCAAATAAGAGTACATAACCAACTACTATAGTAATGAGGAAGTAGACGGGCAATGCAATTGCCCAGTATCTGTAGAAGAAAATATTAAACTGCTATAAAGTCATCATTCTCAAGAGTCCATCACCGAGTTAACATGCTTTTTAAATCTGATTTTTTTATTAAAATAATACATGTATATAAAAGACAGTCAAATCGTTCTACAAGGCCTGTAATGAAAAGCTGCAATCCTGCATCATTCCCTACCGTAGCACCATGGAAAAAGTGCAGACTATTACCTCTCACCTGTCTGCAATCCATTTCCTTGAATTCTTCAGATACTTCTTATCTGCTATCCCATTATTTGTTCCTGTGGGTTTACACCTTAAACATTTTTCTTGTATAGTGTTATCTTAGCAAGATGTTAGGAGGAAATGGAGACAATAATGTGTGTTCATCCTGCCATCTTGAATTAGAGGTGTATTAATAACGACCTCTGAAAAGCTTTAAATGTCTATATGGCTATTTATGGATCTTAAGAGGATAAATATTTACGATTTGGGTAGTCTCAAGGAAAAACTATGATCCTTAAAAACAGTATTAATACATTTTTATTTAAGAAAAACATTAAACTTACTTTTGAGGCCAATAGGTTAATCCCAAGGAGTTTAGCCAAGATTCAGGAATAAATGCCCACACGAGATACAAGACTGCAGAGAGGAACAAAAACAAGAAAAAAGAGCAGTAAGGCATGCATCTAATTTATCAAGGTTCAGATAAAACAATAAGCTCCTGGTGCGCCTGGTGGCTCAGTCAGTTAAGCGTCCAATTCTTGATTGAGACTGTCATGATCTCGGGGTTGTGGGATGGAGCCCTGTCAGGTTCTGTGCTCACCAAAGAGTCTACTTAAGATTCTCTCTCTCCCTACCCCTCTCCCTCTGACCCTCCTGCTCATGCACTGCACTCTCTCGAGCCCTCTCTAAAATAAATATTTAAACAACAACAAACAAAAACCAAAAAGCTCTTTGAAGATTCCCTGATCACCTCAGAATTGAGTTTTCTTTTCTTTTAATCTCCCAGCTCCTTATTTCTATCATTCTTATAATATTTATGACACTTATAGTATATTTGCATTGCTGTGAAATGATCTCTAGAACTTAAACAATTCCGTTTCCCCCGTTAGTCTTTTTTCTAAAACACGTCTTAACTCTCATACTGTAGTTTAACCAATTTAAGGGCAGAAATCAAATCTTAGCAATTATTGGGATCCTTACAGCACCTAGCAATTTGCTTTATATATAGTAGCTATTCAACACTTCATTCCCACAGGGTTGAAATGATTATAGACACTGGTTGTTTAAAGGTGAATTTATCTACCCTTGTTCTGATCCACCTCAAGATGGGCTTCTGCCTCATCTCCCAGAATACAATCTTATCTCCCTCAAGTCCAATCTTTGTGGAACCCTTTATTGTTAATTTGTAAAAACAACAGCTAACCTCCAAGCACTCACTGTGGGCTAAGCACACTTCAAAGCATTTCACATGCATTATTTAATTTAATCCTTAAAACAATCCTATGATATGTACGCCATTTCTACAGAGTAGTAAATGAAATCTTTGAAATGTTACATCCTCTGCCCAAGGTAAGGGGCACAGACAAATTTCAAACTATCTGTATCAGTGATGCTGAAGGATTCATATTCTACATCAGGAGCGGGAGAAACAGTGGTGAATCCAAAAGACATGGTCTCTGGCCTTCCCAAGTTTAAAATCTAGGGGAGGGGAAGAGAGTAAACTGATATTTTCATTACACTGTGATAAGTGCGAATGTGTAATAAAAGGTGACAGAGGAGCACATAAGAAGGATCTTAGCCCCACTCTAGAGCTGAGAGAGGTGATGTTAATGGTCAGGAAAGATTTCCTGGAGGAAGTGACTAAACTGGGACCTAAATAAGCAGTAGGGGATTAGCCAGATTAAAAATGTGTATGTCTGGGGCCTGCAGATGAGGAAGGAAGGAAATATGAGAAAATGGTGTTCGCCGCCATGATCCACAGAGAGAACGTGAGGGATCTGGTGTGACTAGATGGTAGAGAGAAAAGGTGGCATGGGACAGGCTTGCAGCTTGTCATAGTTTTTAAGATGAATGAAATAAATACAAAGAGCGGGAAAACATAATATAAATTCATAAATGGAAGTGATTGACTTTAATTAATTCAATGAATGAGCATTTACTGAACATCTACTATATGCCAGGCACTATGTAAAAGTTAAGGCCATATAGAAATAAGACACAGACCCTATTCTCACAAACTAGTGTACGAGACAGAAATGACTCAAATGTAGTGGCAGGAACTTCCCATGCATTAGCTTATTCGACCCCTTCCAAACCCTTTGGGATGCATGCTATTATTATCCCTGATCCATAGATTTGAAAAAATCAAGGCGTAGGGAATTTAAGTAACTTGCTTGGGATCTTACACTAAAAGTTACTGGGCTGGAATGTGAACCCAGACAGTGTGCTCATACTAGGGTTTCGGGCAGCAGCAAGAGCATTAGTAAAAACACACAATTTTTAAGAAGTAACTACTTCTTACTAGATATGTCTCCAGAGGAGGGATGTGATGTATCTGGGGGTAACTTTAAGTGGTTTAGAGTGAATGGGGCATAAAGCGTGAGGCTGTGAATGCTGAGAAATAAAGCTGGAAATGCAAACAGGGCCCAGATCATGAAATATGTTGTACAAGGAACTTGGACTTTATGCTCCAGGCAATGGGGAGAACTGGGTATTTTGTTTGTTTTTAACTTTAAAGACACAGCAAACTACAAAGAGAAATAACCATTCCTACCCCAACCAGAGGTCTTAAGCAGAGGAGTCAGGGGATTAGCCAGATTAAAAAGATACACGGTTGGGGCCTATGAATGAGGACAGAAGTAAATAAGAGAAAATGGTGTTCCCTGCCGTGATCCAAAGAGAGCTGGGATGGTTGTGTGCAGGACGTATCTGTGGCAGAGACAGTAAGAAGCCTGCCAGATTCAGTGGCAGGAGCGGAGGAAAGAGTTAGGAGGAGAAAGACTGTTAAGTGAAGAACAGCTCCCAGGTTTTTAGAGCGGGTGTCTAGAAATTTCAAGCCTTGGGGCGCCTGGGGGGCTCAGCAGGTGAAGCATCTGACTCCTGATTTAGGCTCAGATCATGATCTCAGGGTGGTGGGATTGGCTCCTCGCTGGGTGTGGAGCCTGCTTGAGATTCTCTCCCTCTGCGCCTCCCCTGCTCTGTCAAAAAGAATTTTGTTTTTCAAGCCTGAGGACAGAATATCCGAGCAGTCCTTTTCCACACAGCAACGAATGATCTTCCAAAAATATAAATTTGACCAGATCACTTGACTTGCCCAAACCCTTAGAATAAACTAAATACCTTTAGAATAAAATCCAAACTCCTTACCATGGCTTGCAAGGACTTAAATGTTCTGCCCACTTCTCCGACTTCTAGTCCTGGTGCACTATGCTCTAGCTCCAAACAGTGTCTCAGGGCCACTGCACTTACAGTGAGTGCTGTCTGCCCAGAATGTTCTTCCTTTGACTCTTTCAATGGATGACTCCTTCTCTTCCATCATGTCTTAGCTCAAATATTACCTTCTTAAATGAGGCATTCGCCATCACTTGATACTCCAACTATGTCCCACCTACCACTCTCCTTACTCCCTATCACTTCCTTCTATTTCCTTCAAAGCTTTCATCAAAATCCATAATTACTGTTATGAACCGAGTGTTTGCATGTCCCCCAAATTCATATGTTGAAGCTCGAATCCCCGGTGTGGTGGTATTTGGAGGTAGGGCCTTTGGGAGGTAGTTAGGTTTAGAGAAGGTCATGAGGGTGGGGCCGCATGACAAGATTAGTGCCCGTCTAAGGAAAGTCAGAGACCAGAGCTTCCTTTTACTCTCTCTCTACTATGTAAGGACACAGCAAGAAGGTGGTTGTCTGCAAACCAGGAAGAAGGTTTGCAAGAACCTTCACCAAGAACCCAACCATGCTGGCACCCTGACCTTACACTTCCCAGCTTCCAGAACCATGAGAAATGTCTATTGTTTAAGCCTCCCAGTCTACGGCATTTTGTTACAGCGGCCTGAGCAGACTAAGAAAGCTGCCTTGTTTTTAAAAAAATTCAGTAAATATTTAAACGTAGAGAGAATCCTGTAACCCTCCTGCACCCACTACCTAGTTTTATCATAACTGCTACATATGGTCTCTGACTTCTATCCTACTACTTCTTGCCTCACCTTCTCAGACTTCAACCTTACTGACCTCCACCTGTTCCTTGAATCCACAGGCATGCTCTTCTAAAGGCTTCTGTACCGTCCATTCTCTGTCTGGGAAGCCCTTTCCCCAGACTGCTCCATGGCTAACTTGCACTTTTCATGTCTGTGATTAAATCTCATCTCTCAGTGAGGCACTTCCAGACTGCTGTCTTTAAAACAGCAACCGCCTCCCGTTCCTTATCCTCCTTTAATTTTTCCCCATGGTACATGTTATCATATACATATTACTTATTTAATTTGTTCATTAGCTATCTCCTCCTACGAGAATGAAAACCCTCTGAGAGCAGGACATTTTTAAATATTTTGCTCCTCCTTTGCCTATAACAGTGCCTAGCATGTGGTAAGCACTCAAAAATTTGTAGCATTAACTTTTGGTTGTGGGTCATAACTACTTCTTACTAGATATGTCTCCAGAGGCCAGGGAAACAAAAGCAGAAATAAAGTATTGGACGTCATCAAAATAAAAAGTTTCTGCACAGTGAAGGAAACAATCAACAAAACTAAAAGGCAGGGGCGCCTGGGTGGCTCAGTCGGTTAAGTGTCTGCCTTCGGCTCAGGTCCTGATCCCAGCATCCTGGGATCGAGCCCCGCATCGGGTTCCCTGCTCAGCGGGAAGCCTGCTTCTCCCTCTCCCACTCCCCCTGCTTGTGTTCCCTCTCTCACTGCGTCTCTCTCTGTCAAATAAATAAAATAAAATCTTAAAAAAACCCCAAAACTAAAAGGCAACCTACTGAATGGGAGAAGACATTTGCAAATGACATATCTGGTAAAGGGTTAGTATCGAAAACATAAAAAGAACTGATAGAACTCAACACCCGAAAAACAAATAACCCAATTTAAAAAATGGGCAGAAGACATTTTTCCAAAGAAGACTACAGATGGCCAATAGACATGTAAAAAGATGCTCAACATCACTCAACATCAGGGAAATACAAATCAAAACTATAATGAGATACCACCTCCCACCTGTCAGAATGGCTAAAATTAACAACACAAGACACAACAGGTGTTGGCGACGACATGGAGAAAGGGGAGCCCTCTTGCACTGTTGGTGGGAATGCAAATTGGTGCAGCCACTCTGGAAAACAGTATGGTGGTTCCTCAAAAGGTTAAAAATAGTGGGTGTTACTGGATTTAAGTATTAAAGTCATTGCCTTTGTTTATTCATATAGTTTCTAATCTTTCAAATACCCTACAGAACAGGGATTTAAACAATGGTAACACTGAAATAGCAGCCAACATTTATTGAGTACTTATCAATCTTTTGTATTGTTTTAAGCACTTTGCATGAATCAAGCAATTAATCCTCACAACAGCTCTAAAGGGCAGCACAGTGAAGTCAACCCAGTGTCTGGGTTCAAATTCCAGCTCTATCAGTTTCTGGCTGGGTACCCTGGGCACATTCCTAAAACCCCATGCCTCTGGATCGTCATCTGTAAAATGAGGATAGTAATAACAATACCTACCACACAGGACTGTCTTGCACATAATAAGCATTCAATAAACATTAACACCACCCTTTTACAGATGAAGAACCTGAAGGTTCAAGAGCATGGGCAAATGGTGCCAGGTGACAGAGCTAGTCCCTGGAAGAGTCAAGATTTGAATTCAAGTCACAACTTCTTTACTCCATACACTACCCTTGCCAACAGAATGGTTGGTTGTACCAATGCAGTCAGGGTTCAGAGACACTACCACTCCCTCACTTCCCTGGTTTCCATGAAATTCCAAAAAGTTGGATGGGGCCACCCAGTTTTTTCCCTGTTGTATTCCTTTTAATTCCGACATCCTTTGGAGGAGAGATGTGGGGCCTGCTGTGTGACCCTGGGCACAGTAGTGTCTCAGTGAGCACTGGTTTCCTTATCTAAAACAGGATCTTCCAGGAACTAAGCCAGATCTAAGACTCTAAAGTGCACATGACTTCTCCAGCCTAATTCTCTTGGCTTCCTGGCTCCTACAGGCTGCACCTGCACCAACTTACTCACTCTAAACCTTTCATTCAAAACCTTCCCACATTTTCCTTCTTACTGCCTTCCTTCTTATTGTCGGGGAGAAAGCTAACCCTGTTTCCCAGTCTGATTTCATGTTTCTCTACTGGGTTCTCATGCCTCTTTCCACGGTTAATTGTAGATTCCTTTGTCTGTTTCGTCCAGAAGACTATGACCACAGGGACCAGGTTTTATTCACTTTGCTGTCTGGTGCTGTATAAATATTTGTTGAGATTATTTACACTAGTGTCGGGCATATGAAATACCAAACACAAGTTCCCTTCAGGTTTTCCTAGAAAGAGGCATAAGTAGAAACAATCACAGCTCATATGTGCACATTCTAAGAACAAATGCAGTAATATTCTTGTCCTTGAACACCAGAAAAGAGGCCCTGGCCATCCATCAGGAAAGTACTTACTGAAGCCAAACTGGGAGCTTAAGAAAAGAACAAAGCCATAAATCGCTCTTTCTGGCAATGGAGACGGTGAATTTTCCACCATTTTCCCTGTGGCTTTAGACAATCTGTGGGAAAGAAACACAATCATCGTCCGTGATTTACTCCCCTTCATCACTGGTCTGTTGTAGCCTCGTCGCTCTGCTATGGGCACAGCCTTTGTAGTTTTTTTCCTAGCCTAAACCAATGCACATCGCCACCCCGTGCACACACCTCCAACACACACCGCTTGCACGCGCGAACGAGCCCCAGACCTCGCGTGCGCGCGCACACGCCAGAGCGCGCGCACCCTGCAGCGGAGGGGAGGGGAGAGCACGGAAAGTACTGACACCGCCCCTGCCCTGCAGGATTCGCCTCCCCCGCGGAAAGGGCTTGGCAGGGCGGGGCTCGGGGAACGCGCGCCTCCCCAGGTCTGGGCCACGGCGCCCGGGACCGGGCCCTGCCCTCTCGCGGGAGCTTCAGTTTCCTATTCAAGGGTTGGGGGGTGGGGGAGGCCCTTGACATTGGGGCCTCGAAGCGCTCACCCTCCTGACAGCTCGGCCACTTCAGCTCCAAGTCCCCCGCGCAGGCCCCTTCCAGAAAGCCTCCGCGGGGGCGAGAAAAGGAAGAACTAAAGAAAAGGCCGAGTCTCTAAGTCGCCCCCTTGGCCGCCCCCTCCGCTCCCGCCCAGGCGCAGGCGCATGCGTACCACGACCCTTGCCGTCCCGGAGCGCGCGAGCGCCGGGGACTGCCTGATCGCTCCGCTCGCCGCCGCGGAAGAGGGCGGGGCTGCACGGCTGCGCATGTGCGTTGCCCACGTGATGCGCTTGTCGCCTGCGCCGCCGCCAGCTCCCGCCTGCCCGCTGGCTGACGTGGAGGGCCCGAGGCGGCGGCGTCGGCGGCGGCCCGCGTCCGAGGCTCGCGGGCTGCGGGCCCCGGTGAGTGCACATCTGGCGCGCGGCGGGGCTCCCGGATGTGTCACCTTATCGCGCTGCAGCCGAGATGCCCGGGGAGAGGGGCCCTCCACACCCCCTCCGTGGGTGTGTGGTGAGTGTGTGCGCGTCGCCCCGCGTCGCTCGCTGTGGTGCCCCCGGTGTGTCTGCGTGGGTTGGGGTGCCGGTGCGCTGGGGGTGTGGCCGCCTTTGTCGCCCCCAGTGGATGTGTCACCTTTATCTAACGGGCCCCTTCAGCCCTCTTGGGCGCCTCCGGGCGTCTGTGCGAGGGTGGGAGTAGCCCCTTTGTGTGCGCATCCCCCTGCCGCCCGCGCACCCTCGTCTGGAGGGTGACACCCCTGAGAGGCGAGGGGTCCCTCGGCCCGGGCGTGCGGGCACGCGCCTGTGTTTCCACTGCCGGCTTCTTTGTGTCGCGCCCGTTCTTGGCGACGGCGTGGGCGGCCCCCCTTTGTGTCACCGCCCCACTCCGGGGGGCGCGCGTCCCCCGCTTCTGCAGTCGTGACCCCGTCCTGGAGCATCTCCCATCCTGGAGCATCTCCCGCGCCGGTGTGCGTCCTCGCGTGTCCCTGCGCGCGTGCCGCGCCTGGGTCCTGTCGAGTGTATGATCTCCCTTGTGCGCGTTTTCGTTCGCGAGTGTTCGTGAACGTTCGTGCGCGCCCCGTTCTCTGTTTTGTGTGCCTTACGTCTGCGCCACCTGTTTTCGTGAGAATGGCAGTCGAGTCCGGGGGCGGCTTCCCTCCCAGGAGGGGACCGGGGGTGGGAAAATCAACCCAGCGCTCCCCCTCCCTCCTCGCGGGAGCATCCTCCCTCCCCCGACGCGAGTGGGAAGGGGGAGACGGAGGCGGGTCTGGACAGCTGCTCCGTAGTGTTGACGACGTTAGGTGTGGCCTGTCGAGCCGGCCTATTCTGGGGACAATGAGGGGGGAGCCAAGGGCCAAAAATTGAGCCAAGGCGTAGGTGAATTTTGGCTGGTACCAGTGCGGAGTGCCTTTTCCAGAAGCGGCGTAGACGCCCAAAGCCCTTCAATTGCAGACTCCTTCCAAAATACGCCTACACGCCAACTGGGCAAATACGTTCTAGCTGTGCCTGGGCGTTCTTGATAATGCGTAACGGTTCATGTAGTGTTTTATGGCGTTCACGTAAATTATCTCTTGATTCTGCCCAACATCCTGGCGAGGGGACTCAAGGTAGACATCGTACAGATTTTTACTCCTCCCTTGGCAGCAGTTTTCTCATAGTTACAGCTCTAGTTAGAACATTTTTTATTGCAAGAAATTTGCGTTTTATCCTAAGGGAAATGGGATTTATTACAAGGATACCCAGGGAAGGGAACTTCAGACCGATTAAAGATCCACCTCCTACGCTGCTTCTTGCTCAAAGGCTCATGCTCTTCGCTCAAAGGCTGTGTTTTGGTGTGTCTTTCTGTTCATTTGTTCAATTTTCTTACTTTTGCCTAATTTCCCTTTTCCTTTTTAATTTCTGAAATATTTCACATATAAAATACACAGGGGGAATCTCACCAACCCATGACTCAGATTTACAAATGTAATTATTTTGCCAAATTTACTTCAGATCCTTTTTTATTTTGAGAAATAAAATTGCAGATGTTGGAGGCGCTCCGAGTTCCTGTCCCTCCTTCCCTAGAGGTAGCCACCGTGTTCAGATTTGTGTATATCATTCCCTTGCATATTTTAGAGTTGGTTCACAGTGAATCCATAGACAATATGTGGTGGTATGTGTTTTAAATCTTAATGGTTTTAAATGATATATGTCTTTTTGCAACTTGCTTTTTTTGATCAGTATCACATTTTGAGATTTATATACGAATGAATTGGATAATTGTGTTATCTTTGGTTCATTCATTTTAATTGCCGGTATAGAATCCAATTGTATGAATATACCATAATTTATCCATTTCCCAATCGGCGGACTTTGAAGTTGTTTCTGGTTTTTTGACTCAAAACAATCCTACAATAAACATCTTTGTACTTGTCTGCTTGTGCACACATTTGGAAGTTTCTCTAGGAAATACACCTAGTAGTAGAGTTGCTGGATATTAGGATATGTGCATCTTCAGCTTAACTAAATAGCACAGAAGCTCTCAAAGTGGTTGTACTAATTTTCACTCTCACTGGTATTGAGTGAGGACACCCATTTCCTCACATCCTTGCTAATACTTTACTAGACTTTTACTTTTTTGCCTTCTCTTTACTGACCAGCTTCCTTGTAACTTTAGCTTATGGCTAAATTTGCTTGTAGCCACCTTGGCTTCTGCTCTAGCCCTGTGTCAGATGGGTTCATCTCTCACAGCTAACTGGCTCAGTCTTTATCTCATGTGGTCTTCATAAGATAAATTCGAGTAAAAATTTATTTTGCACCTGTGGTTGATGTAAAGATAGTAATTTCCATGGTATGTTTTATGTACCTCTTTAGTGGCAGTTGAGGTGATTTAATTACTTTTTAAAATATAATGAATGGTTTTGAAAAATCTTTTTTCCTCTTTAATGTAATATTTGATATCAAAATATATGTAACAATAAAATGATAAAAAATAAAATCTATGTAATATATATGCAGGTTGTGAAGCAAAACAATACAGTGAACACCAATCAATACACCACTCAATCCAAGAATCAAAATGACCAATATTGTACGTGCTTATCTCCAAAGTGACTATCCTGAATTGTCTGTGTCATTTTTTGCTTTTTAAAAATAATTTTGTAGATATGTGTATATCCCTCAACAATGTATTGTATGGTTTCTTTGTTTTTGAATTTAAAAAAAAGGAATTCTGGATACAGTTTTCTGAGACTTGCTTATTTCACTCAATGTTTCTAAGAGTCACTGATACTGAGTATGGATGTAAGTCATTAATTTTCACTGCTGTGTAATATTCCACAGGTGAATATAACACAGTGTATGCCTTCTTTGATGGACATTTGGCTGTTTCTAGGTTTTGCTGTTATGAAGATTCTTGTACGTATCTTGTACACAGTTGCAAGAATTTCTCTAGTTTTCATGCTGGGGTGTATGATCCCCAGGGGAGTAATGAAGCTACTTCTAGGGAGTACTTGGACAGGCGTGAGATTCATGAGTCAGTTTCCAGACCATTACATTCCGTGTGTACTCCTAAAGCTGGTGATGCCCGAGGCCTGTGATAGAGGCCGCCTGCTGGTTCTGTTTTCTACCTTACCTTTCCTAGTAGCACTTCTGCCTTAGGTAAGGAAGGCATACCACTTGCCCACATGGAATTGTGGCATTGTCTCAAGCAGAAAAACTCCATGGAAGACAGATAATTTAAAATCCAGTATATATATAGTGTTAGAGAAAGCCTTTTCTAATCCAGGTACTTCTCATCTCAAGAGCTGCATTTGCAATACAATTTCACATTTTATGTTTAATTATCAGTGTATATAGTTATTTTTGATAAATCCTATGCTATAATAATTATAACAGTTTAAACCAATGATATGTCAGTTTTATTTTTAAGTCACAAGAATTCATCATTTGCGATTATTTAAACTTGGGCTGAACACTTTTAGATGTCATCTTAGTGTGAAAATGATTTCAAACAATTTTTAGTGGTTTGTGAGTAAAAAATGGTTGGAATACTACTGTGGTAAGCTATTTGCTAGAAGTCAAATTGCTGGATTATGGGGTATGAATGTTCAGCTTTACCGAATTGTTTTCTGAAGTGGTTGTACCACCTTGTACTTTGACCAGCAGTTTTGTCAATTTTTATATACTTTGATAAGCAGTGTATAAGAGTTATAGTTGATCTATATCTACTCCAACACTTATTATCATCAGATTTCTTAATATTTGCCAATCAAATGGGTATGAAATGATGTGATTTTAATTCGCATTTCTTTGTTAATGAGTTTGAGCATCTTTTCATATGTTTATGAACTGTTTTCCCTTTTGTGAATTACCTGGTCATATCTTTTACCCATTTTTCTCTTGGGTTGTCTTTTAAAACTAATAAACTGGTAACACTGATCCTTTGTTGATTATATGCATTGTAAATATCTTCTTCCAGTTCATGGCTTGTCTTTTTACTCTTTATGGTGTGTTTTGGTGAACAAAAGTTCTTAATTTTAATGTAATCTAATTGGAAGCTTTACCTGGCCTTGGAATTAGAAAGACATTCTCTTGGGTTTCTTTTTAGAAATTTTAAAATGATGTCTTTCACATTTAAATTCATAATTCATCTGGTATTGATTTTTGTGTACAGTGTGAGGCAGTGATCCACATTCATTTTTTTCCTCCATGTGGCTACAGCTGTCCTCCTACCATGCATGGAATTGGCCCTCTGTTCACCAGCAGGGGTTTGTTTCTGACTCCCCTTTCTGTGCCACTTGTCTGCTTCACTATCTCTGTGTTATACCACACTGTGATAATTATTAATCCTACGGCTTTACCAGAAATCTTATTTGGGGCAAGGGGTCTTGAGTCTCAGCTGTTCTTGGACCTTTGTTCTTGTTTTAAGAATCAACTTGTCAAGTGACGTGAAAAATTCTTTGGGAATTAATTGGAATTATTGAATCAATTTGAGGGAGAATTGAAATCTTTAAGATTTTGAACCTTCCTGTCTGAGAACATGGTATGTATTTCCATTTATTCAGGTTTTCAATGTCTTTTAATGTAGTTTTGTAATTTTCTCCATACAGATCTAACACTTTTAAAAGATTGATTCTGATGTTTCTAGTAGTTTTGTTGCTTTTATAAATGGTATTATTTTTTAAGATTCTATTTTCTGACTTTATTGTTAGCAAATATAAATTTAATGGATTTTTTATATTAATGTTTAGCCATCACTTGTTAAACTCTTATTATTTCTAATATAGTTTCAGTGATTCTCTGTGTGAATAATTATGTCATTGCAGGTACTGACACTTTTGGTTCTTTCAGTTATTTTCCCTTAAAATTTTTTTTTCTGGTCTTAATATGCTGGCATACTTTTACATCTATGTTCAATGGAATTGATTATGGTTGTTCTTTAGAAGTGATTATAG